AGGAAATTGTTTTTTTTACGCTCTTTTTCAGTGAAACCAACCGTGGTTTCATTGAAGCCCATGCATGTATCTCCCACTGTTAAATGCAGCAGCTTTTAATCCGCGGCTGCGTTCGCGTTCAATTCGCAGCAACACGGGGTTCAAAGGTAGGAGGCAGATTGTTAAAATTATGAAATTTCTTCAGGCACATTTACAGTTCTCTTAAACATTGCGGAATTATCTATAAAAACTTTCACTGCCATTTGGAGTTAGGGGGTTAGAAAGAGGTCTAGAGTGGTCTATTTCATTCTCCATCCTTTCAACAATTGCCACTAATAAATCACATCACTTCATCGCTCAGTTTTGCCTTGTTAGGCCTAGTTGTCTCATATACATAAGAAACATACTTGATTCGTTCTTTTTTTAACAGAATAATAAATACCTGATTTTGATTTAATTATTTAATGTGAAAAATTATGATTACGAAAAAATTGTCTAGGTAGAACAAGGTTATAAATGTAGCCTACAGATTCAAAAAAAAACTCTACTATATTATTTTATGTTCATCCAATTTGTTTTATATTTTTCTAACAAGCGTAACCTATATTCTGAGCTTAGCAAGCCGAACTCCTGGCAATATAACTGAACAAATATTTCGCGTAGGTAAATAAAAAACACCGAAATCATAATTTTCGTGATACACAATAACAATTTTATTATGATTGCTGCATCTTTATAGGGCTGTCGTATTTTTATTATGCGACAATAAAATGATGGGTGAAACGAACTGAATTGCAGCCCACGATTCCTGTAAAATATGTATCAAATGTTTTGCGAATAATTTTTTTACATACCAAGCATTAGTGATTTTTGGAAGAGGTTTTTGTTACATATTTTGTTAATGTTTAGGTCTTTTAAAATATATACTAAAATAATACCTGTTTTTTAATACTCTTAGTTTGAGATGGAAAAAGACTTAGGTTTTCAATTCGAGCTCTTATGTGTTAAGAAAAGGTTATTTTCGAAACCTAAAAACATTTATTTGATTTCAACTAAATATATTTGTAGATTTTATTGTTTTCTGCCATAGCCTAAGCAACTTAAACAATTGTAGTGGATATACCATAATTAAAAGATATAATAAAAAAATCCCCAAAAAACTATCTACCCTTAATAGACGTACTGACTAAAGCGTCTCATAAATCCATGGCTAATAGAATCCCTCCCGAGATTGTTTCCCATAATAACTACGTGGCTTCCACGATAAAGGTCGCCTTTGTAATTATGAAACTCAAGCTTAGATCCGATTTATAATACTACGGAACGATGAAGACCTTTTTGGTTGAAAGGAAACCAAGCTCTAGGTGGTTCAATTAAAATTTAGTATTAGTTTTTACGTCAAATAGCATTTTCATGAAAGTCACACATGTAATTTATGAATAGAGGTGTGATTATTTTTACATGTTTTTATAGTTCGATAATTTTTGACAGAAGATACTACCCAATTTTAACAATCCAAATAATAGCTAAAAACACGAAGTACTACTACTCTACTTTAACAAAAACTACGCTTCGGAGATTAATGCGTTTATTTTTTAATAGATAGCGCGATTTTTATATGGAATAGGAGGCAAACGAGCAGACGGATCACGTGATGGTAAGTGATCGACGCCGCCCATGGACACCTGCGGCACTAGAGGAGTCCAGAGGAAAGTTTATGTTTGTATAATAACATCCAATAAATAGTGAAAAAAATTGGTATCAGTATTGCACACGTGCAAAGCTGGGGCGGGACGCTAGTGCACAGTAAAAACAATCAAATTTTACTATTACTACAATTTGAATAAAATTTGAATTTCTGTACTAAGCTGAAAGCTATACGAGTTGACTGCATCATGTCGAGTTTAATAACGGTGGGCGTCAGTGATAAAGGTGCCTTGTAATTGGGAAGCGCCTAAGGCCAGCGAATAAGTTGGGCAGAAATAGTCCTATATTCCGATAGTTTGAAATTTGAATAATCATTGCTTTTTTTTAAATGTGTCTGTTTTCTGTTTTTTTTTTTTTGTGGAAAAAGGAGAATCAGGGAGATGGATTGTCTGATGGTAAGTAATCAGCAGCTCAGGAACGAATACCACTAGAGAAGAAGCAATTTTGTGTTTATGCCCAATACATAAAAAAATCCTTAAGCTATTTTTATAACTACGTATTTGAAATGTGTAATAAAATAAAAACCATTTTTGCTGTTGCTGTTATTGCTTCTTACCAAACATATAAATTCTTTCTTTTTTAGAAAGTATTATAACTATATGAAATATAAAAATATATAAACCTATTTTCTTTCAGGAATAATAACCACATTATTATTATAGAGACAGTTTAACCAATTTAAAAAAAAAATTAAATGTCATGCCACTCTAGATTTTGTAATCTGGCAACATCTACAACGATCGTTCCGTTCAGATTTGTCCGCGGCCATCTTGGATGATGAATGTCCACTATCGGTGGTGTCACAAACCAATTAATAACTTAACTTTGACAGTTTGATAAATAAGCCTCAATGCCCTGATTTTTTTTTACTCTAAACATTAATAAACAATGCTGAAATTAGAAAAACATGTTTGATTAAAAATTAATTAATCAATTACTCGTGCGTGGTAATTAAAACTCCAGTTTGTTTGTGTCTTAATTAGAAATATTTTCAATTATTCATTCGTTTGGCTTTATTGATTTGTGTTTGGGCGGAAGGGTTGTTTTAGTAGGAAAAATTAAAATAGATTTTTAAATTTTCTTCGAACTTAATTTTTATCTAATATGGCAAATCTTTACAACGACCACAGATATAGGCTAGGAACTGCACCTGCCTTAGCACTGACTCGGCACCTACTGGACGGCTCGACCTGAGTGATACCAGGGCGTCACAGAAAACCAGCATGACACAAAAAGTGTGGTTACCGGAGACCAAATCCCTTTCTGGGATTGGTTTGGGATAGCCCCCTCCCCCCCCCCCCCCCCCCCCTCTCAATCCCAAAAGACTCGTCACTCTTCTTTTTTTGGGAGGGGAAAATCATCAAATGATTTCTCCCACCCAGGGTCGGGCGGAAGGGAGTGTCAGACTCTAACTGACTAAAAACCCCCCCCGTTCCTTCTCCTGCTCTGGGCCGAGGTCGCGGTACCTCATTGCGCTTACCCCGCTACCGCGACTGAATATCAGCCCTATAGGGCCCCGTCTATACTCGTCACTCCTTTGGTATTACCTTCATCGATGCGCAAATAACGTAAAGCTTACCATTAGAAACTATCGTGAGACATACTAAATTTATTAAAAATAACGACTTACTCTAGTGAAATAACTGAGTAAAGCACTACTAGTACTAGTAAGAGTCCCGTAGTTTTTTTTATGGCATAAGTCGGCAAACGAGCAGACGGATTACCTGATGGTAAGCAATCGGCGCCGCCCATGGACACCCGCAGCACCAAAGAAGTAACGAGTTCGTTGCTGTTTGGGAATAGGGGTTGCGGATATAAGGATCTGGAAGGGATAGGAGAAGGGGAGGGATTAGGCCTCCGGTAACCTCACTCACACGGCGAAACACAACGCTGTGGTTGTTTCCCGCCGGTATTCTGTGAGGCTGTGGTATCACTCTGGTCGAGCCGACCCATTCGTGCTGAAGCTTGGCTCTCCCACACTTTTGTAACTTGAAACTAGTTGAGCTTTTCTCAGTTAACTGACGTGAATAAGCCGTTATCCAAACTAATATTATAAATGCGAAAGTAACTCTGTCTGTCTGTCTTTTCTTCACGTCTAAACTACTAAACCTATGTATATGTGTGAAATTTGGTACAGACATAGTTTTGGAACTCGAGAAAGGACTAGGATAGTTTTTTAACCAAAAATTTGCATGAAGTCAATATTCCACGCGAACAAAGTCGCGGGCAAAAGTTTTCAATAAGTCCTAAATACCTAACCCTAAATGTGAAGCATTTACAAATAAATTATGACAAAGTATAGACACGCGCGCCTAACTTCTAATATCCAACACCATACATCACAGGAAACCTCAGTACAAACATAAAATCATTAAAACTCAATACTGGACACTCATTATGGTATATCCAATAACGGAATTCCAGAAGGTAATAAGTGTACGTGTGAGCTATGCATTTGTGTCGTTTTAAAATGGTGCGTCGCGACCGGTAGCAAGGCGATTCAAGTTTATTAGTTGTGTCTATAAAAGGGGAAGGGGTCGTAAACTCGCTTCGGGAGGGGTATGCAACATTGTTTTTAATACTTTCTGTTGCTATTTATGTTATAAGCGGAAGCGGGAATGAGAGAACGTTGAATTGAATTGAACGGTATATAGGTATTTTTTGTGGAGTTTCAACTAGATCGAGAGTGCTCAATCAATATTATTGACACCAGTCGAGGAAATATGACGTGACTATCAAAATTATTGCATGAATTTAATCTTATTTGCATGATTTTCAATGCCTTCATTGAATTTTATAGGTATACGAATTCAAAATAATGCCGATATCACTTACATTACAAATGACCCTTAAAACTCACAATAACACCACCTCGTATTAACAAACCAGCTACTTACTCATTATTATTTACAAAACAACATTGTACAACAATAGTCAATAGGCACATTGCCACCTTATGGATTGATAAAACTTTACTGTTAAAGAAATGCAATAATACAATGTCGCTTAGTTTTTTTCACTTGTACCACACATTTCCCAACTCCCTTAACAACATCAGGCCTGCGATCTACAATTAATTCTAGACTTTGTTGCACTGTAATAAAAGCTACACGAACTGCAGTGACAACTTTGTACGGCATTAACGTATCACATCCGTTGGTCCGCTTATTGTATGTTTTTTTAATAAGACATTGATTTTCTGTAGTAACTGTTTGAGCTGTTTTGCTTGCATTACTACTGGCACCTGGGTTATGTTAATGTTATTATAACGTACGCAAACGTATTTACTGATGGTAAGCTATCGCAGCCACTCATCAACTTCTCTGGTGTTGCAAGTCATCATCATCATCATCATCATCAGCCGGAAGACGTCCACTGCTGGACTGGACAAAGGCCTCCCCCATGCTTCCACCGGCCCACAGTGCCACCACAGTGCCACCCTTGTGGTGTTGCAAGTGCGCTGCTGGCCTTCCAAGATTGCTATAATTGGGCATGAAAGCGGAATGTTAGGGCCTCCGGTAACATCACTGACACGACGAAACACGGCATAGATGTTGTTTCACGCCAGTTTTCTATGCTGTCGTGATCTCAGTCCGGTCGACTGTCTTTATGGCCTTGGTTGGCTACACTACCTCGTTGGTCATGTGGTCGAGTGTACTACTACCAAACAAGGCCCATTTTGGTTTTGACCGTTTTTTAGCAATTTCTGGCTATTGTCATCAGTGTTTGACAATAGGTTTACCTCATCTGTTTGGATATAAAAGTTTTGCCGAGAACTTTCATTGCCAATAGACGGCATGATAACCATGATTATTTCAAGTTAGCGACAAAACGTGGTTATTTTTAGATAGATACTCCAATAAAAAGATAATTGAAATCAAGGCATTTATAACTTAGCAGTCATAAGTAAAACTCAAAGCTAGATAAGAAAATAGAATAATTCTACAATATTAAAAACCTCAGTCTACTTCAATAAGTTTTTACCGCCTTGAAATTACAATACACTTGCGATTCATCATCACAAAAAAATCATCATCATCAGCCTGTAAGTGCCTACTGCTGAGCAAAGGCCTCTTCTCATACGGAGAAGGTTAGAGCATTAATCACCACGCTTGCTCAACGCGGGTTGGCAATTTCAAAGTTATAATTAGAAAATACAAGTCCAGGTTTCCTCACGATGTTTACATACAGTGGTATCTAAATAATCATAGAAAGTACATATAACTCTGAAAAAGTCACATTGGTACTTGCCAGGTTTCATGCATGAGAAGCGGGTTCCTTAACCTCCGGGCCACCACTAACAAATAAAACATATAGAACAAACAGTAAAATATAAGGCAACACCACATAACCTCTTTACGAAAATCATTCACGTACATAGGAGGTCCCTAGCCGAATGTTTGTCACTGAGGTCTTAGTAATCTCAGCCGGGATTAGAGGGAGTGCAGCGGCCGCGTTTTAAACCCTCCTTGAATAATTAACTGCGAAAATGTAAATCTTAATGTTTGAGGTTACGGGTTTTTGAGAGAACACCGCCAGATGACGCACCGTTCGCTTTTTTTAGAAATAGAATGGTTTGAATTGAAATGGTTTACTCAATATGGCGCATTTTATTCCGCGAAAGGATAGGTTGAAGGCCAGTGTCTATAATTATGCAACATTAACCTTCCACGTCTTACCATTTTCAACAGCTATATAAATTATGAAACACAGCAATTTTTCCACATAAACAATCAATTATTAATTACATTTAATTCATTCACATCGGATTTCTGCACTTTGTCTACTAACGTTATACCACGATTGATACCACGGCTACACAAAAAAACCGGCGTAAAACAACCACAGCGTTATATTTGCCCGTTTATGAAAAATGTTATCTTCAAAAGGTTGGCAACACACTCGCTACTCTCTCATTTGCCCTATCACATAAAAAAGCGTTTGAAGCACACGCTCGACATTAAAGAGCATTTTAAAATCCATTACAAATGGAATTTAACCAAAAGAACGATGAATAAATTTAGCACTACTGAGGTAACATCACTGACATTATTTCGTACATTCAACGAAAACAAAGGAACATAACACTATGTTAGTACATACATTATGATATACATGTTAGTTAAAAGCATTAAAACATTTAGAGACAAATGTAGCAACGAGACAACAAAGACAGCTTCAAGACAATGAATGATTGCGGCTACTGTTTACACGGGACGACTGTTAATCGTGTCGGTAACGTCACGGTGAGGTGACGTTCAGTATTATATGGTATACAGGTATTAAAATATTACGAAGATATTCTACTATTGCGTTTTATGAAATACAATTTACCAAGTATTGAAGAAGAAAGACTGGGATGGAAGTAAGCAATATTTAAAAGAATCTGAATATACTGCAGAACCAGAGAACACTGATTGACAACGTATTCTACAATACATTAATAAATAGAAAAAACATAGTTAAAAAACAATGCTAGAAAATATACAATTACAATAATTTGGCACAGGTGTTAAAAATTATCGAAACATCACGCCACAAGTTTAGTATCAAAGCAACTTTTGTTCACACAAGCAACTTCTTATTTTTAAAGACACAAAATTTGTGTCTGATGAAAGACACAAACTATTAGATAATAACAACTAAACATTTGCTATTGGACTAGCAGCTGATACACTTGAATCTAGCCACGTAACACATGCACCAAACAATAACAAACAAACAACAAAACACGCGCTGAGTAGGCTGCGCGACGTCGCCGCGTCCGCGCACCCTGCTCATGAGGAAGAACCCCTCTTTGGTTCGAAACTAGTAGAGTTTTTCTCAATATTTACACGTGAGTAACCCGCGATTTTTAGTTAATTTAGTATGTCTCACGATAGTTATAATAAAATCAATGTTGAAGAGAAGATACTTATTAATGAAAATCGTATCGCAAACGTTCCGTCATTGAAAACCGCATTACATCCCCACGCTTGGCGTTAGTTAGTGAATCACGTCAGTATAACGGCCAATTGTGGGCAAATTGTGTCCAACTCATAAATAAAGCGCTGACTAAACTGTCCCGCTAATACAAGCGCTGTAAATAGCCGCTGTTTATCCGCAATTAATCATGTGTTTGTGACATACGCTTTGGTATTTGCATATTTATGTACTGCATTAAAATCATGTGGTGTGAAAAAAGAAAGGTTCGGCTTCCTGATGTTATAATCTTTCATGCACGTGCTGTCTTGTCGACAACTGTGCGTCTCTGTATTTGGAATAGTATTAGTATTTATTTTATCATCATCATGAGGCAAATCTTTCTCTACAGTATGATTCTTTTAGACCACAAATCCTTTTATTTTAAAACTAACGAATTAAATAACATGTTTTCGGCTTACTCACGTAATTGTTTGATGAGATACTCGACTAGTTTCAAGCCATCCTAGAGGCCCATATTCGTCTCTCGAGTCTCGTGCCGTAATATAGGCCTCTAGCATGGCTTGAAACTAGTCGAGTATCTCGTCAAACAATTACGTGAGTAAGCCGGAAACACAATAATTAAAATTAGTACAAGTCAATTTAAGTTTTTAATATTTGTTTTGCTCGTGTTTATTATTCAAGAACGCTTGTAAGTTGTAGCTTTTAAACTTATGCTCTCTGTGTAAATACACTATGAAGTAGGACACGTTATACATACATATATTACACATATCTTAACAGAAACAAAACATGATCTACATCGCACTTTCAAACATCGAACAATCAAACAAATTAGTAGACAAAAATCTGAAATAAAATATTTATACAATCCCATCTATTAATTATACAGCTATTCCAAATTAACACTATCTAATAAACCCATCATGGATTTGTTTAATATTACAAAGAGGCAACAAAGTCCATTTATAATGTACTTCGTGAAAGAGCTTCATTTAACTGTATGCCACGAACACTGTTTAATGGATCTGCGAGACGAAACGGAATGTGTGCTTTTAATGCGATAACAATCAAACAACGGGCTTGTAAGTAATTGTATGAACTATTACATGTGAAAGCATGTAAGTGGTTATAGCTTGTGTAACTAGCCTTTTTATTAATATTAAATGTTTGTTAATTTGGATGAGATGGATATACACTCATTGCATTTCAAAACAATCTTTCTCCGATATGTCTTCAGGTATATGTCTTCCCACGCATTGGAACGAATGGATCGGCTCGACCGAAGTGATACCACGGCCTCACAGAATACCGGCGTGAAACAACCACAGCGTTGTGTTTTGCCGTGTAAGTGAGGTTACCGGAGATCCAATCGCTCCCCCTCTCCACATCTCTTTCCAATCCGAATGAAATATCCGAAACCCTAACCCCTAAAAGGCCGGCAACGCACTCGTAACTTCCTTAGTATTGCGGGTGTCCATGGGCGACACTGATTGTTTACCATCAAGTCATCCGTAGGCTCATTTACCGACCTATCCCATAAAAAACGTGTCAAGGAGTTAATGGATGAAAAAATATAGCAGCAATTCTAAAATGAGGAATGCATAAAAAAATTACAATTCTGATGTGTAAAGTGCCTTCGGCTGAATAAAAGAATTCAATATTTAATTCCCCTATTGGAGCTAAAAATAAATGCTCCTGGGGCTAAAAATAATAAGTTTGAATACGGGTATAATAAAAAGTAATTAAATATAAACTATGACCATTTAGAGTGTTATATAAAGTGACATTTAAATAAAATCTAAAGTTCAGGTGTAAATGTGCACCATCCCGGAAAGACGACTTATGAAGTCCAAGTCAAAGGGCGTGACATGGGACGCCTTAAATCTCCTCCTCGGTACACATGGCACCTCAACCACGGGATATTTGTGTATCATGGGAACATGATCCCGGATGAGCTAATTATCGATGGGTTATTAGCGCCCCTTAATTGATGGCGAGATGAATTTGAGAGAATATTCTACCCAACACTGTGAAATAGTTTGAATAAATGAACCGATTGAAAGGTTTAATGAGAGAGAAAGATATGATAAAATATTTTGTTTTATGAGAAGAATCAAAAACCTTACTGAAAGAAATAGTATTATCTTTTCTTTCTTTCAGAGATATCAAAAATCCTAGTGGGGCAAAGTTTGTTTAAAAAACTTTTTAAACAAACTTTGCCCCACTAGGATTTTCTTCAATGTCGTGAGTGCGTTTGGAAACATACAATTTCACATACACATCATACTCAGACCCGGAACACACAAAGAGTTGTTCCGTGCTGAAATCGACCCTGCGACACATTGCGCGGCATCTAGTTGCCCAGTCACCGCACCAACCGTGCAGTTAATGTAAAGTATGCAAGAGACTAAGACAACGATGCTATAGCAAATGCAAAAATTAAAATTGATATAGTAGCAGACGATAAAATCAGTGAAGACTTAATCAGTATGAGAGTTGAAAGATAAAAATGTCAAAAATTTCGTCAGTCAGAGAACAATAGCTCATCCATTAAAACTAAATAAATTCGATGACACAAATGAAAAAGTGTAACATTGATACGATCAAGATTGACGACCAACACTAATTTATAGTGTACGATAATTAGAGCTATATTGGCCTTTGACAGCACGACCTGGTTACCCAAGTGGGTCAAACGATTAGATTTTACGATTGGATGTAAAAGCTTAGTTTTACGGAGACACCTGGCCCGGTGATTTTGTTGTAAACGTCCATAAAGTGAAAGGATATAAATTAGTTATTGAGATGGTACAGTAAATGTGTAGTAAAGATTCTTCTTTGTTTAATGATTCAGTCATTGTTTTGTATTTAACATTCTGTTCTTAAAAGGTGATAAATTTTTGAGTGCCAAATCTTTACCGATGAGCTACAAAATATGAAATTTTAAAGATCACATTAAATCGGTTTACAAAATGACTTACCGCTTGTATGAAGAAATCTTCATGTAACACGCTGACGATGCCGAAGTTGGTGAACTTGAAGACTCTATCCATAATCCACATGAGGTTGGGCAGGATTCCAGGTCTTGGGTTCCAGGCGGCCATTAGCATGGGTACGTCTGCTGTGCTCTGGTGGTTGGCGAGAACCAAGGTCCGTCTCCCGTTGCATGCTGCCGGCTCGTCTCCGGTTTCAATAACTGTGGAAAAAGGTTCATTTTTAAAACTTACAAGGAACATGTCTACTGAAATTTTAATAAGGGTTGAACTCTTGCAAACTCTGTACTGGTTTTTGTCTCGTTTTGTTTATACAGCTCATAATTATAAAAAATCTAAAAGAAATAGTAATTGAGATTCCTACAAACATTTGCACAAAAAATGAAACTCAATTAAATAAAGTCCACTAAAAATAATTGAATCTAGAAAGATACTTTCATCAACAAACTCTGAGTACTTAGAGAAACCAAGAAACTGAATTTCTAATATTTGATCAAGAATTCAGTTCTCCATTGAGGGTCTCACAGTCTCACTCCAAAACTATAACAGCATAGTCTGAGGACTCTGAGGGCTGTTTGTTCAAACGTCGCGTAAATACAAACTACACTGAAATATTTATTTGCTCCGAGACCGTTTAGATGTTGCCTCGTGTTTGCCGAACGTGACATATAGGAAGATGGATATTGATTCTGGTGTATGGTTTGTCTAAGAATTTGGTGGTTCCGTGAGGATAAGAAAATGTGGAAGCATTTTTGTGGAAACGTGTTCGAGTGTTGTGTTGGAACTATAAAGAAGGGCGGAGTTATGACGGCACTTATTTATTAGACGTTTACAAAAAAATGATGTTGGTTGTGTGGGAGATGATATTGATGGTGAAGTGTTTGTTGTTAGATAGAAAAATTGTTTCCTTTTTTATTAAAGTAAGATGTTAAATAAGCATTTTTAATTGCAATATTAGCTACCATACAATGCAAACGCAACTCGACTAAGTAATAAGTTACATTTTTAACGATCATACGGAGTTTACTTCAGTTAAAAATTTACACACATACAATTTTATTTTTTATTTTTTAATGGTATTCACATCAAAACTCTGAAGCGAAATGAAAATAAAAATACAACATAGAAATATTAAATGGTGACCAATCTCAAGACGTAATAGAAAAAGAAAGCTCTCAGGGCACAAACACAGATTCCAATAACATTTATCTTGAACCACTAACTTCAACAATGCGAGACCCCTTCAAACTTCTAACACACTTAACATCAAACGCTATACAAAAATCTTACGTAAAAAAAATCACGCATTTCGTTGCCCACTTAAAATAAATAATGGCTTTCGTATTAAGATTCAAATTACAGTATATCTACTTAAACACCCTCCTGAAACCTCCCTAATAAAATCCCACCTTCTATCAGCATGAAAAGAAAAAAATTGTACCTCAGTAAAAATTATTAACATTTTCATGAATTTGTAATTCTGTTTGCATGAGACGCAGTGATCTACGAGCCACGTTTTCTTGAGGTTACCAGAATTAAAAATGTATTAGTGTTGCCCTTTTTCGAGGGAATTTTAATTCCGCCTAGAAATTGTATTTTCTTTGAGCATTATTAGGAAGGAGAAAATTGTTTCTTTCATTATACCTGGTGTTGTTTTTTTGTTAGTAGATCTGCTGTGATAAAATAGTTTTTTGTTTCCAACGCCAGTGTTGTTCAATTTTGATTTCAATTTTATTTGAAATCACTTTTATTTTGTATGAGAAGATAATAAATACTTTATTTTATATCCAAACTAATATTATAAATGCGAAAGTAACTCTGTCTGTCTTTTCTACACGCCTAAACTACTGAACCGATTTCTGTGAAATTTGGTTCAAACATAATTTGGAACTCGAAAAAGGACAGATGATAGTTTTTATACCAAAAATCTGCAGGAAGTCACTATTCCACGCGTACGGACAAAACCTAGTAAAAAAATTATACCAATGAGCTCACAAAAACAGCATTTTCTGCAATGAGTTTTCGATGAAGAAAGACACTATTATAAAATTACCGATGCTATACTCGATCACAATGCATCATTATTCATCTCCATTACACTCCACCTTGCGATACATCACATTAAGACTCCATTCTTCTTTTAACCAATAAATTGGCAATACATTACAGAAAGCGCTATATTAATTCTTCAAAGTCAAATGTTGGCTACATTAGTCCCCGGGGCGTTGCATAGGAACGCAAAGTAAAGGCGGTAGCTAAAAGAAAGCCCTTCATTAGTTGCCTTTATTAACTGGTGATATTCTACGAAGGAAGAATAAGGGAGTGGATGTGATGAAACTGCCTTATTAAGGGTTAGATTTCTTAGTATAATTAGCAAGAGTTGGGGAGATATCAAGTTCCCAACTGTGGTAGATCATTTGCCTATACAGACGCGGTGGTTGCATCGTCTCCAACGCAACTAGTCTTGGTGTCAAACCCCACACGAAACAACTCTTTGTGTGACCTACAATTAGTTGTTTCGAGTCTAGGTGGCGTGTGTGGGTGTGAAAATGTTTGGAAACGTATCCAAAATCCTAGTCAACGTAAGTTTAAAAAAACATTAGTCGACAAACTCCAATTCTTTATGTGCTTTGTTAGAAAGGGCCGAAGAAAAAATACGTTAACTTGGTAATATTGACGAAGAAATTTTAGTCACTGGTTTTATACAAGATTCAAAAATAGAACAAGTCTTTCTTTTTAATCTAAATTAAATTTGTAGACGTGTTTTCTTATTTTCTTCGTCCACACAGATACTGTAGCAAAAAAAACACATTTATCGTTTTAACATGATTTTAAGATACCGCATCCACATTTTGTACCACATTGTTCTTAGTACGTAGACATCCCTGGGGCGAGTTGCCGAGTAATTACCAAAGAAGATACAGTCGTATTGCTGACGTGGCGTTACCCACAAAGAAATATCTTCGTCTTATGTACTTCATATATAGCTATGTAGATGCTCCTTTTGATTTAAGTGAGCTTAGTGTTCTTTAGTCTGGAGGTATTAAAAAGTACAATACGATAGAAGGGCCGAGATTAAATAAAGTGAATTTGTTTTTTTTTAAACAACCCAATTTGGGGGTTTCAGTTTTTGAAAAAATACATAACCAATCTCTATAAGAAACTAGAAAGTGAATATGATATTTTAAGGGAAGTACATTACGGCCGTCGTATCTTTGCGAGTCTGAAGTTAGCCGTTTGTCTGCGCAATGGATCTTTTAGGAACAAAATTGTGTACTGCGCAGCTAATCGGCTAACTTCAGAATCGCCAAGATACGGCGGCTGTATTGTACCTTAAAATATCATATTCACTTTCTTTTACTAAAAAAAATGAAAATTATTTAGTGAATAGAAAATAGCAGACGGTCCAAATTTGGTTTAAGAGTGGCTTAAATAGAAGCTCAATATCTTTTATATAAATGTTTTCTTGGCTTCGCATGGTTGCAATACTGAGAGTAAAGTTGTTTGTTTGTTTTTGTATTTGTTCTGAGAATAAGTTATTTCCAATATGAAATCGATGTTATTATACATATGATCCTTCCTCTTCAATCGCTCTATCTACCAAAAAAAACAGCATCAAATTTTGTTAAGATCATTCCGATTTAAGCAGACATAGGGATATAGGGACAGACAAAATGACTTCGTTTTATACCATGTAGTTATGCGCTGCATTTTTTGTTTATGAATTTTTCTTTTATCTATGAATTGTCGAGTTACTCCCATACAATTTTCAAATAGAAACATTTCAAACAACTTCATCATGAGACTAAAACAAACGGTAGCACCAACAGAGTAAAAAAAGTTAAAGACGCCATCTTTTCTCTTTCATATTCTGCGAACATTAATGCAAAGTTAAATTTAAATACGAAAGGATAGCAGTAATTAAGCATCTCAAGGCGTTTGCCTAAGTAATTGGAGGTTGCAATGGCGAGGATTTGAAGCAAAGGCGCTGGTGAATCCGGATTACCTTACCTATTGTAACGTACACGGGAATTTAATAAAATCGTTACAGCCATTCGTCGCTTTGTTATTTGCCAGGTTGTTTGTGTTTTGTTTTGGTTGTGACGTCGAGTGGCCAATTGTAAATGTTTACTTCCCGAGTATTTATTATTTGATTACAAAAGTTCAATTGATTGTTTCAGAATGTTGTTCGTGATGGTAACTAAGTCGTATTCATTTGTTTATTGCGATATAAATACAGATTTTTCAATGAAGTAGAAATTATATATGAAAGTGGTAATCGCAACCATGAATAAGATAAGGACTGGAAATCGTAAGTTTTTAAAGGAGAAAGTCCACATTTTGCTTATTGCCAATATTTTTATTTTTTCTTTATAATATATCTCTCTATATCTGCCTATACTAATACTAAAAAGATTGATTGTTTGTTTGTTGAAATTGAATAGGCTCTGAAACTACATGACATATTTGAAAAATCCTTTGACTGTTAGGAAGCTAAACTATTCCTTATAAACATAGGATATAAACCAAGCAAGTAAAACCGCGGATCACTTGGTAGCCAATAATAATTTTTATTTCATATTGTTACAGCATCACTAGTTAAATATCACAAAACAAAATACAATACAAAAAAGCATTTTACAAAACGCATATCTCCAAAAAGATACCTATCTCCTATCAAATGTTTTCCGTCCCATTTTTACAACAGCCTATCTGTATCTTCCATCTCAGTCGGTCCCAAAACTCGTTAGGCAAACGAGTCTTGAAGGAATTCGCATGACAATAGAAGAGAGGAAACAAAGAGGATATTTTTGATAAAGGAGGTCAAGGTAGGTACTGTGACCATACGCAGAAAGTTGTTTACATCAAAAAAAATCTTAATTTCAAATAAATGAGGATATTTTTTTTTAAAAAGTGGATTTCATAATATTAAAATAAAGAACAAATACTAAAATACGTTTAGTAAGTGTTTTTGTTATACGAGTAGTACAGGATCCGAGCTAGAAGCGTCCTTCACTGATCTCCTTGCCGATTGAAAAGTATTTTGTATCAAAATGTGTAATAATTAAAGAAAAGTATAGTTGCCTTAAAAAAATGTTGATGTTGCTAGGTTATGATGATGCAATCCGTAAACAGATCGGTGTACGACGCCTCTAGTTCGGATCTCAGACTGTTAATTAACTTTTTTTTCAACAAGATAAAC